ATTTCCCAATGGTGCTTGTGGTGTTGAAGCCTATTAATTAAAGTATAAATTAGTATTAACCAATATAAACACATGAGCTCATGTCTGGCTAATGTGGGAGCCATTCTTATAACTAAAAAGCTCATGTAGTAAATTTACTCTGTGAACACTGGCCTCCTTTTCAGCAAACTAGACACGACCAACATGTCTGCAAATTTGACACGGTGAACGTGTTTGTACTAATGGTTTGGTTACACCGCCATCTTCATGTCAGCTCCAGCTCTTAAAATCTATTGTTACTGACACCCATGTATGCAAGCTGCAGGGCTGAGTCACTATTTGCAAGTCAGTCACACAAAGCAGGAGCACTGCTTCGGTTTCTCTGTAACACAGTCCACCATCAGCTCATTCTGGAGTCATTCCACCTCAGATTATTGTGGTCTTTCTACTCGACCATCCAAATCAGGGATGTCAAATATCGTGGGCCACATACAGCCCATTCTGATCTTAGGCAGGCCGGACGAGTAAATCTCATCATGGCCCAGATTGTCCTGTAATTATAAAACAAAAGTTTAAAGTCTACTATATAGTTTTGTTAATTAGCAGAAAGTGCACCATTTCTTTTTTTTTTTCCTCTTTTGACACTGTGGACCCCTTGTAAAAACTGATTTTTTTAAATGACATAAATAGTTGAAAAAGCTGCTTATTACATTATTCTGTTGAATGACCATGTGGTAAGTCTTTATCCATGGGAAGAGTTATAAAACTTCTGAAAATAAGTCCAAATATTGTGCCGTTCTATACATGGCTGCTTCCCCTGAGCCTGGTTCTGCTGGAGGTTTCTTCCTGTTGAAAGGGAGTTTTTCTTTCCCACTGTCGCCAGAGAGGGCCATCTGATTGTTGGGCTTTCTCTGTATTACTGTAGGATTGTTACCCTACAATAATACAGGCTTCAGTATGTGAACACGGCAAATTGACCTTGCAAGGCTACTCACATGAAATGAGTTACTAATTCTTTTTTTCATTACTCTTAATGGTTTTTATTTATTTATTTGTACACATGACAACTGTTACATATGTGTGTTTTAATGCCTCTTAGTACATTTTAATCTTAACCTGAGTTATTAGACTCCTCCAGGGCAATATGCTTGTCTATAAAGTGGATCTCAAAGTTAAATTCAATATATTTTATTCATTTTTGTGATTAAGAATTTCATGCTGAAAGTACGCTGTGTGTTTTATAAATAAAGCTGTAAACCATTCAGAAATGGTCCTTTTGTTTTATTAGTGTGCACTCAAATACGCAACTCTGTATTTTATCTAGTCAATACTCAGATATTTTTTAAGGTATCTGTCCCCTGGTTCATTTTTATGGTAAGAAAAGCCAGTAAAAGTTTCAGGCTTTTACCCGTAATATTTTTTTGTTATATTTATGTTCAGGTATCGCTTCAGGTTTCAAAGTCCAAAAGAAAAGGGTCAGGAGCCGCAGTAACCCTACATTAAAGTAATCAAGCATTTAAACTTTGTTTTTCCAATTAGTGCACTGAAAATATCTTCAAAGATTAAGTTCAAATTTACTTGCGGTAAGGTGTTTCTGTTCTGTTTCTCCACACAAAAAAAAAATCTGTTCTTTTTCTCTCCAAACTGCCCACAAAATGTATTCACTGCTCCATTCGGATTCACACCTTCCACTCTGGACAGACTTCTGGTCTCCAGTCAAAACTAATCTGGTAACGCCCGAGAGCGCTCGAAATACACCACCACCCAAATGCGTGCCCCCTTATCGGGGTTTTTAAAAAAAGCATCACCAACACAAACAGTAATTTCGTTGTTACTGAGCACCGGCACCCCGGGAGCTGCAGAATCGCTCTTGACATTTTGCTGATTTGAGCACCCCACCCCCTGCCATTTATTTACCTTTTCACTAAATGGAAGTTTTCACTGAACTGAGGAAAAAAAAGATTATTCCACGTCAGGGAGCTTTTCTTTCCATTTTCTAATAATTTAACTTTCAGTTATTCCCCTTTGTATTGCCTAGAAATGTTAATTAAATCCAGTTCATTGTTCTTTACTTTTGATTCACTCGACTTGTTCAAGTGTTAAAATAAAGTTATCCCTTTAAAATTAACACTCTAATCTATTGTAATTCATGGTTCACACACTCCCAGACACCAAACCATACAGTTGCAGCTATTTTTAAGCTCTTGGTCTGATGCAAATCCCGACAAATCCCTTTGGCTCAGACGGGGTATGACACATCGTGCCTGGCAGCGAACGTCCTCCACAAATCAGAAGCCACTCTCCGAGTATCCTCATAAATTTTACAGTGCAATCAGTGCAGAATATATCAAAAACAGCTTTCCATCAGTGCAAGTAAACCTAAGAGACTCGAAGGCTACTTAAATGTCACATCCTGAGTAGATTCCCAGCTTTTCTTCCCCCTTATATTAGTCGTCAACATGGCAGCTCAAAGACTTTTCTCTTTCTATTCTCCGATCAATACTTTACAATTAGAGGAACCAGAAAATGGCTTTTATGGTTACTTTGACTGGAACTCATTCCACAGCATTAGCATAATATATTGCAAGTGTGCAAGGAAGCTACTCTAATGCTGATGCCTGCCTTGGATCTAAACCACATTTTTCCTGTTTTTCTGATTATACAACAACTTCTCTTTTCTTAATCAGACAACGCTACCTCAGAAAATGACTCTGCGCCCCATTGACCTTGAAAATTGAGCTTTCTAAACATTTTAACAGAGTAAAAAAATAGTATTTAAACTTCTAACCATAACATAGTAGTTTTTGTAACTAAACCCAATTTAAGCTGTTTTCACACATGAACTCCAGATAATAGATAATAGATAAAATCAAGTCTGCACAGAGGTGGTCTCACTTTAGCTGAGGTTTAGATGAAGCTGCTGTCTGGGTACAGCTCACAGGAGGCAGTGCGCACGATACCTATTTGCTTGCTGTGAATTCTCCATACGCATTACATTCTCGCCTAACTCTGCAAAGCCAGGCTCTGGTCAAGACCCAAAGTGGTCCTGACGTGCAAATTGTCCCCCTGACCTGATTTGAAGTGAAAGACTAATCGATCTCTCAAGCAACTGATTCCCTTCAGGATCCCTGGAGCCAAGTCTTTCTGTTTTACTGGGCAAAGTAAATGACTAGAGGTCTTTGAGCCTCAACAATCTCAATCTATTCTCCAACTTTAAATGCATAAGAAGCACAGCTCGCTGGCTTGTGGCCGGGTGTGGTATATGAACAGCACAGTGGGACGCTTTTTGTAAGAAGAACTGGAGGGCAGGATGAACTAGCCCCAGGAAAAGTGTGGATACAGACAGCGGGACGGTGAGCATGGAAGCTAGAACCAGCTAATGAGTGCGTAATAACTCACCAGCCAAGTCAATTAGCTGACTTTCTACTAGGGAGCCAGCAGGTTAAGACTGGTTTTATATTTCATCTGAGTCAGACATTTGCATCCTCACATACAGCTTCACTGTGTAATTATAGGGGGAGAAAAAAAATCAGAAGCATGTGTGTGCAAAATGCACGAGCACTTTTGCTGCCTGCAAATAACCAAATCACAAGAGAAAATAAAAGTAAACAACACTTGAAAGTGAAATTCCCCTCTTGTCCTGCAGGCGGTCTTATCCTTGTAGCTCGAGTCTTCTACCAGAGGCCTCGGCGTTTGAGGGTCTTGCGCATCATCTTTGCTGTTCCTGTAACAGCACTCTTCTGGACAGACATCTCTTGGATGTCATCCCTGGGATCTGCTGGAGCCATGCACCCAGTTTGGGGTCATTGCACCGATTGTTCCGATTACAACAGGGACCACTGTTGCCTTCACCCTCCACATCTTCTCGAGCTCCTCTCTCAGTCCTTGACATTTCTCCAGATTCTCATGGTCCTTTTTCCTCATGTTGGTATAACTACATGGCATCTTTACACAGCCTAAACCTGGGATCTTGCCTGATGTGGTAGACCCCTGCCTTTACCGATCTTGTATTTGGAGCTTGTCCATAATTAGCGCCTCTGCTTTCTAACAGTCCAGTTAGCAACCCACTGATAGCATTAATCAATATCAGCCACTTTGTCTACCTGTACATGCTGTGCAGGGCCCTGTCCTTCAATGATGGTTAATATTCTCACCCCTCTTCTTTCTTGGGTTTCTGCTGCCCGAGGTATTCACTAAGCACTTGATCAGTTATGTCCATCTTCCTGATTTACTCCTGTGTGCATGTCGTTTCATCCTGGACAGTGGTTCTGACACTCACTAGTCCTCATGCATAGATGTATGTGGTTATCCCTACCATGTTCATATTAGTCAGTAAGCCAGTGAAACCTTCTGTTTGTGAGTAGCAGCCAATAAAAAGAAAGCTACCTGAAAAACAAGGGTCTCCTTAAAACAAGAGCTAAAACAGGACTGCACCAAGGCCTTGTATAACATTGTTAAATCTGAAAACTGTGAATTATGCAAAGCACTTTAATAGAATCCAAGAATAAAAATACAGAGCTGGAAATGGCCTTAGTGGGTCTCATTTAAAAGAGGTCTAACGGCCCCAGAGTCAATCTCCTGGTCAAAAGTAAGACGCGTTTGTTCCACCTCTGCTGCACCTCTCTCTTAATAACCTCTTAAAAGTGGAAAGACACTTGTAGGCTGATTCAGGAATCCTTATGTGGACTGTTACGAACACTGCAAACAAAAAAGCATCACGATTGTTTGGTTGGAGAAGTTGTTGCTCTGAATATGCAGGAAGGATTCGCTCGTATTGAAAGCAAAACCAAAAGAAGTTTCTTTAATTATTAAATAAAACAGAATTTTTATATTTTCTCCCTCTTATATCAAAGCCGATCTTTCTCGACTTTATTATGCACCACCCAGCAGAAATCACATGCACTGTCTATCTATTTCAGTTTGAACCCTCGAGCCAGCTACCAAACATGATCCAGATGGCTTCATGATCCGGCACGAAAGCAGCACGGAGACGAGGGCTGGAACAGCTGGTTTAGACTGACCTGTGTTACTGTGGCTGAAGACTGCCATGGTCTGTCCACCCACTGGGTGCATTGTAAAGGGATGATCCTTTGGGACCTCCAGTGATGCATCGTTCTCCCCCACAGCATCCAAGGCTATCAGCTCATCACTGAGGCTGAAACATACCTGAGAAACAAAGCTGGAGGTCAAGCACGATGCACTGAAATTATATCGATCCATCAGAGGGAGGTGGGTCAGAGCAGCAGCAGACAGTGATGGGATGTAATATAGAAGAAAGAAAGAGTAAAATTACACAAAGCTAGCTGTGATATAACCTTGATTTTAAATATAGAATATATAGGTGGGACTGCGGATATTTGGACAGTGACACAATTTTAATAATTCCAGCTCTGTAGGCCATCACAGCAGATACGCAACAATCGAGTTTCAGCTCAAATGAAGGGCAGACTCTCAGCTGGTTAAACAACAATATTGCATTAACTTTTAAAGTAATTTTAAACACATTATTTTACACGTTGACGTAATAAAACCTTTACTATTAATACTTTGTTGACAAACCTTTGCAGGCGATAAATACCTGAAGCCTGAAACACTTGACACCAACCAGAAAACTGTTTTTGACTTTGTGATATTTTTTAAAATTTTCTTATAAAAGGTGTAATCCCTAAAACCCTCAAATTAAACCAGAGTCTGCACTTTAAGTCATTAATTCTTATTAATGACTTATCTTATTCATAAGATAAGTGCAAATATTTGGTACACAAGTTAAATATTAAAAATGATACCCATGTCCAAAAATATGAAATTAACTTGATTTAGTATGAAGGTGTGTATATCATTAGAAACAAGCCGTTCCTGCTGATCTAAAAAAAACAGGAAGAAAACAGGCGGAAAGGCCTTTAAAGGTCATCTCATTGTAGTTAAAAACCAGCATGTTTTATTCAAACATTTAACCAACAAACCAAATCATCCAAAGCTGACTCACCTCTGTTTTGCCTTGCTTCCTGTCGGGATTGTGAGAAAACAGAATAATTTAACATTTCATTAATCTCAATAAGTCAATAATTACAATTTTCCCACAGCTACAGCCAAGATTCAGTTTATGACGATGATATAAACATTCAAAAACTGGCATTTTTGTTAAAAAATTACTTTTTAAAACAGCTGCTGAACAATTAGCTAATCACTGCAGCACTAACACTAAAAACTAATATGGACACATCCACACTGCGGTACCTACTTTCCAATGGTAATCTTTCCAACTTCTCCCTTTTCTGCAGCTTTGTCCCACTGCTGAGATAAATACTTGGGAACCTGGAGAGAAATGCACCAGTTTAAAGGCATCATAAGAAGGGTGCGTTCATGTGCTCTTGGGGTCGGTGGAGTTTGGGGAGTTGCTCTTCTGACTGTTGTGTTTACCTGAATTTTAGTTGACCAATTTATATGCTGATATTTGCCGATGTACATATTTAGGGTGAACTATGCGTTGACGGTCATAGCATGGTTGAAGGACGTTTCTCCCATTGCTGCCGTTTTAAATACAGATATCGATAGATGATCAAATGGCTAGTTAAGTCCCTTTATCAAAGGGCTCTAATCATAAGTATCACATGCACTGGGAGCTGGCACCATTAGCTGCCGCCTTGAAGTTGGAAAACAACACAGTTTCTGATGTAATCCCAGAGGTATGAGTCCAAGATACCTGATGAAAAGCTGAAACCACTTATTGAGTATAACATCATTATCTGGACATTTTCTATACTTATTTTTATGAATGTTTTCATCTTAAACTTTTTGGACTGAGGGAGAAAATGTCTTTGATGTGTTATTTGGGATTAAGATTAATTTACAGAAAACATATGTTTTATTTTATTATTGGAAATTTGCAGTCATTTTAAATCTTATTTTATATTCAGATGATCTGCGAGGGAAGTGCTCACTCGTTAAGGAATTAAACAATGAAAAACCAAGGAAATAAGTCACAAAGCCATCCTCAAATTTATTTTGAATATCAAGCATATGGATCCCTTTTCTCTTTATTCTCTTCTCAAGTCACAATTATTTGTTCTTCTTGTATTGCAAGAAATATTTATTAGACTTAGATATTGATGAAGGACAGCTTAAAATCTTGCTCTGATTCTTCCAAGTGGGCTTTCGTGTAATTTTTTCCCTCCCCTTCCGATACCACGTGAATACAGAATAAAGTCAATGCTTCAGTTGTTTTTTCTCGTGGTCACAAACTCACAAACATATTCCGCTTAAACACCTAACGTAAAACAATAAGTACGAGCACTTCTTAAAAACAAAACACAACACAACAAAAAACGTTTTATCTGGCTGTTTTTCCAATTTCATGTGAAGTTACCCCCACCCGGAAGCTCGTTTTTCCGATTATTCTCACGCCACATGAATGCGCAATAAAAGTTTTGTAGCTTCAATCAAGCCGACACCTTTACGTAAGGTGAATTATTAAAAAATCACTTTTCAAAGCAGTGCCTGTGTGTACCAATAAACTGATAACACCTGTTACCGTCGGTGAAGGTAAAATGACATCGTGATTTGATCATTTTCAGGTAAACAAACCTTCACAAGCCACACGCCTTTACTTTGTTTGACTCCAGTCAGGTCAACCTCCATTGTCTCTGACATCGTTTTAAACAGTAATGCGAGAATTGGCTAAATAAACAAGTACAAACAGGGACGCCTGGCTGGTGAATGTTCAATTTACTCAGGAGTATCCAATTAGGCAGGGAGGCTTCAAAATAAGACTTCCTGTTCTATCTTTCAAAATAAAACGAATTTTTATGATTAAAAAAAAATACTTGCACAGAAATGTCAAGTCTTGGCTTTATTATTTAAAATAGCCTGAGGTTGATTATACCTCGCTTCTTATCCTTTCATGGAGAAAAGAAAACCACTTTATTTTCCTCCATTATCTGCAGTTTCACACACAGATTAAAAAAAGTTTCTCTTAATACTCTTAATTTTTATTATGTAACGTCCTCGTGCGTGACCATTTCTGTGGACACATTTTCAGCTCGCAACATTTTGATTAATGTGGGACTGTTTGCTCTTTAAAGACTTCATTTATCACGGATCTGCTGGGGGAGAAGTAATGACACGACGGGGACAAATGCCACAGGCTTGTGTGATTTTATGAGCTACAGGCCGCCTATTAAAATTACATGACATCCCATGAGCAAAACAGTGATTAAGGGTCGTGAGCTTAAGCCTTCTCCATCCAAGTCTTAGACTATTTCCTCTAAAATAAGCCTTCAGTATGTGCATATATAGATTAGATTGAAAAGAAAAAAGTTAAAATGTTAAAAGGAAGCTCAACAGCTAATTATGTCCACTTTTTTTTTTTTTTTTTACAATAATTCTGCCATAATGGACAAGTAATCATATGGTTGCATCAAGCAAAATATACTTAGGTCAAATAAGGACTGAACGACAGTCTAGACCTCTGAATCATCACTCTCTCGACATTCAAAGAGAGCAAAGAGAGTCTGATTGTCAGGCCACTAAAGTCCAGGGTCAAGCGCTGCAATGAAAGCATTATATGTGCACGCTGTAGGTGGCTTTAAAGGACACACTGCTGAAGCCCCCAAGTTTCTTATATCACAGCATAAACAACCTGGTGAAAAGTACAAAATTGACGGACATCTCAGTCTGCAAAGGTGTGAAAATAATGATCGCTGCAAATTACTGTGCCTTAAGTTTAAAATTTCCTCAAGTCTTCAGCATTAAAATGCTGCATTTTTGGACATTACATGTCTAAAAACAAGGGAAATACAGTACCAAAGGACATTAAAATCAACTATATTAAGTATTAATGCACTTTATGACTTGTTTCATGTGTACGGAGATCATAAAATTATTATATTGCCCACTTTCATTCATCCTAATCCTAATGTCCATATTTATCTAATTGTGTTAATTCAAAACCATTTACTGACTGGTACCATCATCATGTGGATCAACAGAAAACCTGGAATCTTTCAAAAATGAAACTAATTATTATTATTTTCTCTAATTTGCACCTCCTCATCTCCCTCCTGCTTGTGACCCTTAAATTAATCTCAGTAGCTCAATGCTGAACGATGTCACTCAAAAGTGCATCTTGAAGTGAAAGAAGCTATCCACTGTAGGAAGCGATATGATGAATACTGCACAGATGTGTTAAAATAGGTGTTGAACACAGCTGGAATGTACAAACCATGAAGGGAGGAGTCACCTGTGATTAGCTATGTGGTCGTAAAAAACAACTGCAGTTGAGCTATTAAAAAAAACCCTGTTTTGCTTAGGCTTAAAAATGATTCTCCAAGGGAAGGATGTCTCATTTTTGTTACATCTCTGCTGTCTCATCTCCTCTCTCTTTATTGGTCTTCCTCACATCTTTAAAGGAGAGCACAGAGACACAAAGAGATCAAGTGAGGATGTGCAATTTGAGAGGTTAGGTGGCGTCTGTGTTGTCGTTTTGTGCTGTTTTGTCCTGCAGGAGCTGATTGGAGGGCAATTAGCTGCATGAGCTACTCCTGAGCCCAGTGTGCACAGATATGAAAGCTCCTCATTTCTCAGATTCCTCTCCTTGCATCTTACCCTCTCTCACCAGTGATGGAAGTAGAGGAGCTGAACAAGAGACGGTCGCTTAATTAAATGAGACACCCTCGCCTTGGAGCAGCAGCAATTTAAAGCGGTGTCATTTAACTGTGATGCTTGATATTATTTTGTAATAATAAACACTGCAGCTATGTTTTAATATCTCAGGTGTAACTGAGCTCACGGATGTCTAGAACCTCTTTTCATTAAACTCAAAATATGGCATATATATAAATGTTATCCTTGTTTTTAATCACACACACAGGAACACTTAAAAAGCTGAAAGTGTGACCATCTTAAATAACTAAAACAATTTATGAATGCAAAGATGAGCTGTTTAGTGAGTCCTTCCACCCTGATTTGTATATTACAGCATCTTCTGTATAAACTGAAAGTACTGCTGTAGAGGATAGACCTGTGCAGCTTCGATTATATCTCCTCTGGTTAGCCTCCTCTCTTCTCCAAATGCATTTA